ACACGCGATATTCGATTTTACCCTCGTTCTGTACGTTAAACATAACGTCGGACATAGTGCGCTGAATAGCGCATCATTGTGTGAATACAGCGCACTATGTCCGACGTTATGTTTAACGTACAGAACGAGAGTAAATTCAATTGGCGCGTGTGGGATTTTCCGGTTTTCTACTGGTCTGGTGAGGAAAACTTAACCATCTCTTTTCTTCCTTCATTTCAATACAACAGCAAATGTGATGTCACACTATCTAGTGGATAAGAATGTAGCAGACAAAACATAAGCACTGCCAGACTGCGCTGTATGCAAGTTTGTTTACACCCCTGAGCGGGAAAGTGTATAACAGGCTACGTGCACTGCTGCCATCAACCCTGTTAGTGTTGAATTCAATCTTCTGTGACTTTTTAAAAAGGACCGATAAAATGTTTAAAATGGTCATTTATGTTTTATTTAATCAGTTTTTGATATTTATCCACCATTAAATACATCCACTCATCTATGTTAATAAGGCAGAATTTGTTATTAATTGTTTTAATAAACTTAAATTCATTGCTAGAGGCAATACATCTGGCACCGCTGTTTCAATGATACTTTCACGATTGCTACCAAAGCAGTAAAGTAGAAATTGTTTTCTTTGTGATGAATTTTGTTCACCAAGAGTTTTGTGAAGCAGTTGTTTTGAGTTTCGTGTATTCGATTGCGTTTAATTGTGCTATACTTCGAAGAACACAAGTAAGTAAATACAGTGAATGTGTTTTACCCAGGAAATTTTCGTGTTTTACCCACGAAATACATGTTTTAAATTTTCGTATTCATAATATATGAATGTATGTGTAAACTAATGATGATGATTTTATGATATTTAAAAAAGAAGAAGAACACAAAATTACTTACCCTTTGTAGAACCTTAACTAACAAAGGATTGGGGGTACGTTCCGTTCGATATTAACATCGCCGATGCCGTAACGAAGTGGGGACGAGGACCACCACTACAATCAGATGGTGTATGATTCAACGGACCACAGTTCTTGTACGAATTGGAGTCGGAGTGATCTGAGCAAAAGAAAGCGGTGTTCGACGACTCGCAAGAGATGAAAGCATGCGTGCTAATCCACGAAGAAGCCCGTCATTTGATCAACGTGATGTGATGTGAATTGAACCCACCATCAGTGCAAGGATTACCAATTTCCGCAGATACACTACCGGTTGTAAAGTTCGGCCTAATGGTTTGTTACAGCAGGGTGAATCAGTTTCAGATGGCCATTTGTAATCACGTGGAACGTTCTGTAGTTAATAGTGAAACCGGAACCCATCTGGTCGCCGCTGCTTCAAGCTACAACCAGGAGAAATGATACTTGCGAAACAACCCCAGCAGGACAGCTTTCCGGAGGAGTAAAGATATTGGAGACAAGCCGTGGACGCAACCCGAATCAATCACCGATACTCGTTGACAAGTCAAGCTGGCTCTACACGCTGCGTCCGATCATCGATGCCAACGGAATTGTGCGCATGAGTGGAAGATTGGCGCTATCGGAATCGGTTCCTTTCCTGTAATTCTTCCCAAGCATGCCAACAAGAAGACGTTGTTCAACGAGCTTCGTCAACGCTTCTACATCTCAAAGCTTCAATCAACCATTTCACTAGTCGTCTCTAGTCCAAAAATCAAGATGCACTTTATTCCTCCCGGAACACCGCACCTGGGCGGAAGCTGGGAAAGATGGTGAGATCAGTGAAGAAAGAGATGAGAGCATTGGACGACGGCAGCAATCGAGCTGGCAAGAGCGCTGAGGGTCGTATACAAGCCGTCGCAGTACCTAGCCGATAGAATGTGGCAGGGGTGGAGTAGAGAATATCTGCCCAGTATCAATCGGAGGACGAAGTGGTTTGAGCGGAGAGAGTTTTGGCTAGCACTAAAGGGTGTCCCACATCAAATTGCATCACGGAAAAAACGCTGTAGAAAATTACCCATTGGGTACTCTCTTGAAAATTTGGGTAGAAGTAGCTTAGAGTGTATTGTTTACACTGTATTTTTATCGCTGTCAGTTTTTCGAAAGTTAGAAAAAATGGCGTCACCCGAAAAGCAACGTCGCGAATTGATTTTGCGCAAGCACCTGGAAAATTCTCAACTCTCTCATCGGGACATCAGAAAACAACTTGGAATCGTGCAGTCAACGGTGAGTCGTGTGATTAAACGTTACTACGAAGCTCTGAGCCTCGAACGGAAGGAGAAATGCGGTCAGAATTGATGTTCTATTAGTGATCACGATCACAAGCGTGTCGTCACAGCGTTTTAAGCGGAATACCAATGCTTCGATCGGGGATGTGGCCAAACAGTTGAATCTGTCCAAGTCTTTTGTTCAGAGAGCCAAGGACAAGGAACAAGGAACAAGGAAGGACTGCATACGTACAAAGTGCAGAAGGCTCCAAATCGTGACGAACAGCAAAATACGGTGGGAAAGTCACGGACCCGGAAACTGTACACCCAGATGCTGACGAAGTCTCATTGTCTCATCATGGATGATAAGACTAACGTCAAGGTGGACTTCCGGGGCTACTGTTCTTCGACGTCCAGCACAAGTTCGATGTTCCGGAGGAAGTAAGGAAGCAGAAACTTTTAAAGTTTGCAAAGAAATACATAATTTGGCAAGCGATCTGCTCATGTGGCAAACGGAGTGCGCGGTTCGTGACTACCGGGACTGTAAACGGGGAGATCTACTTCAATGAGTATCTACAGAAGCAACACGAGGGCTTTACGATCTTCTGGCCGGATCTGGCTTCGTGCCGCTATTCAAACGTTGTCCTCAAGGTCAACAAGGTCATTTTCTACAGCGTTTTTTTCGTGATGCAATTTGATGTGGAACACCTTTTACAAGATAAATATAGAAACAGTTCCAAAGTAGTTGTGAGAAGAGCTCATGTTGAATTCTGCGGAAAGATCAGAGTTGAGTTTTTTTTTTTGTTCTGGGGAACATTCCATCAAGATTGCTAGTCCATTTCTTATATATATTCTAAATAAGGTTCTGAGAAGAATTTATAGAGAATTATGTTGCTAATTCCAAGAAAATTCTGATGATAGTTAAAAAATTAGGGAAAATTCCAAGTTAATTCTAAAAATAATGTCAAGTAATCTGATAACAGTAACATAAAAATTCCAAAACGAATGCTAAGAGATTTTTGAGAGTACAATGTCAAAAAAAAATTTGAGAGAATTCCAAGGAGAATTTCAATCGCAAGAATACAGATAACTCTGCGCAAATTTACAAAAAATATATGAGATGAATTGCCCTAAAATTCTAAATGAACTCGAGCTAATTTTGAATAGGATTATGAAAGGAAGCTTCAGAAAATCCCTGAGAGATTCTCAAATTTATTTTATATGAATTCTGAAAACAACACTGTGAAAGGAAATTATTTTAAAGAAACTTTATGAGAACATTGAAAAAACCATGTGAAGAGTTGTATGCAAATTTCCAACAGTGACAAATTGGGCTCAATCACGTTGGGTATTATTCTGAGAAAAACCGGGTAATAGCTAATCGGAATTTGCTGGTCATCATTGTTTTTGTTGAAATTTGAGTTACCTAAAATCCATGAACTGTCTTATATCGATAAGAAATCAAGCAAATGTCGGACTGACATGCGATTTTGGTCAGTCAAGCATGCTTGAAACATGTTATTTGCTCAATTCATTTGAATTTATTTCCAAAAATTGATTCCCTTAACCAGGCCTTCAGTTACAAATTGCTACTGTCCATTCGAATTATCTTAGTCAAGAAAGTATTAACGTAAAAATCCTCAGTTAAAACTTGAATAACTCAATGACGCTGGCTTGCAAAGCACACAATTTAACGAGCAAATCTTTGCCCCTTAGTTAAACCAAATCACGTGCAAAGCAAAAAAGAAACAAGCTTTAGTTCAACGTGCAAGTCAGTGATGCTCCGATTGCGCGAAAACGATAAAAACCTAACCACCCTTTGCTCCAACTATTACGCCGAACGAACGTTCTACATCCAGCTGCATATAGCTACCTCCCAGGAGAACGATCAAACCAGTATCTACCTTCTGCTATCTTCTGCGCGAAAACTACGATACTTTCCACCTTCACCACCCATTGCTTTCATCTAAAAAGGTGTTCAGACCGATGCAACGATATGTCGGTCGGTGGGTGAAAAAGATGCTGGTGCATCCTTGCCTGAGAACCTGAGACCGGGAACGGGATATTCAAAGAGATTCATATCACCGGCACACTGTTGTATGTACAGCAAAGGTTGTTTAACCTCACCCACTCTGCCACTTTACCATTTGCAAATCGCTTAACAAAGGTAATTGCTCCGAAGGCACGTCCCATTATAGAACCCCATCATCGTCGCCGTGGCTGCAAAAAGCGTGTACTAAAAGGGTAACAGTACCCACATCTATTTGCACCATTGAACGCCTCTTTGAAAAGAGATGCTTCTTTTGAGAATATTTCATAAAGTTAACGAGGTGTAGCTTAAGAAAAAATAAGCTTCGTTCCGCCATTCTGAAATTCTACTTCCAGCATTTGGTAACAACTTTCCTCGAATTCTATTCAATTTGATAGCTCTTCAATATTTCTTATCAGTCATCCCCTAAGCCGGAAACGCGCTCCTACGACACACAAAACCAACAACTAAATCCCAACAGACAACCAGTCAATCATAATTTGTCGAATGATTTCCTTCTGCCGCACTCGGAGCTCAAATCGGAGCTCAAAGAGGCGCCAATGTGCGCCATATTCTTCCCGGAACTCATTCATCAGCTTAGCTCCAGCTTTTAATTCATTCCCAAGAGCAATGAATCGCTCCGGGCAACAAAGCAACCCACATGAACTAAACGCACTTCATCAATCGGATTATCCCTGACCACTGTTGTTGTTATTGTTGTTACTGGGTTACTTCGATGCGATAAGCTGCTTATTCACCCCGCATACGACTGCAAAGACCATAAACAATCAGCCTATAATATAAACAAAGAAGACTCAC